CCCTCTGACTTTAAGTTAAAGCCTACATGACAGCACAGATGCTCATTTAGAGTTTCAGGAACTGTTCTTAATTAGCTTCATTGATTAAACCACATTCCCTTCTCCGTCCTTTTTCCACGGCCATTTTTTACAGCAGGAATATCATCAGTAAACTGGAATAAAATAATGATGTTCCATTTCAGAATCCCAATAAGTCATAGCAGTGAACCCATTAAATAAAAATAGTAAACACAACTGTTCTTTACCTACAATAACATGAGACAATACCAATCAATCCTATGTCCTACAAAGTTCCAGGACTCCACCATAGAAACCCAATGATGTAGGATTTTTACCCATATTTGCTGATTCAAAACTGAAAACTTTCAGGCAAATGAAAGATAAACAGATTTTCCTAACATTTGTTTTACGTATGTAGTTATTAGCCCTTACCAACGATTACTTGTTGAAACTCTAGTTGGTTGGTTGTTGTGTTTGTGGCTGTTGCTGCACAGTGTCCTCTGGTGGACAAACTATGCAACACCAACACTGACAACTTAGCTGAAGGGTGTTTCTCCCGTCTCTCCTTTACTTTTTAAATGTTCATTTATTGGCTATTATAAATGCAGGTACTGATATAGCAGTACATCAGTATAGAGGTATTATCAGCCTCAGTCGAGCTCTACTTGGATAGCAGCAATGTTTTGATGTGATTGCTGTTTTTAGATTTACTATGCTGGCAGACACAGGAAACCTTCTTGGAGAGACACGTATGGATATGCTGTCCGGGAGGAGCTGGGCTGCATGTGCAACAAAGCTAAACTAGACAAAAATCAATCAGGTAGGATATGGGGTGCACGGAAGTCTATGTCCATCGCCTCCAGTGCTCCTATTGTCACTGTCTTCTGCACCAAAGCAGGTAAAATGGAGTCACAGTCTCACAGAGTCAATGCTTCCCATCAGGACAAATAAATACCGCTGAGATTTAACTGATTTTGTGTTATACTGTGAAAATAAAGTGTTTGAGCAGTGTATTATATGACCAAACATACTCAAATGCTCACACTTAAATAGGGTTGGATTAAAGTTTGCTATAGCATCTTAACAAAGACAAAGTTCACTTTTTAAACACAGCCTCACTAGAGACTTATTTGAAATTACATCAGTTTGTTTGTAATTTCAAGTAAAAGCTCAGTAAATGCAAACATTACTTAGCCTATTGATGAAACAATCGAGCAATCAAGCTTAATGCTTTATTTAAAGTAACTACATTGGAGGGTATACCCCATGGCCTAGCCTACTGATCTTCCCAGCCATTCAGCTACAAGTTGTGGTGATGTGGATGCCTAAAACTGGTTGATGGTAATGTACAGTGCAAACACAGGATATTTGTATTACAAAGATGATACCTCAGTATCTAATAATAGATTTTGTCACTGTAGACCATAGGTGTCAAACTCTGGCCCGCGGGCCAAATTTGGCCCGTAGCCTAATTACATTTGGCCCGTGAAGCCATAACAAATTACTATTAGAGCTGGCCTACTGGTATTATACAGCTAATATATATATCGTTTAGTATTAAGCTTTGCTTGTACCATATTCAGTTTTTCAGCAAAACTTGTTTGAGTCCATAAGAAAAGATTCATTCTTAAATCTGGAGGAAGATTTTGTTTTTCAATAAATATTAATGTTAGCCCGCAACTTTGTTCCAGTTTTGAATTTTGGCCCACTGTGTATTTGAGTTTGACACCCCTGCTGTAGACAAATGCTGTTCAAATGCTCAGAGACAATTCTGAAGTCTTGTCAGTTTACTACATTTCAGCAGCTGTCCATGCAGTATTTAACTTGCAAGTTTAATTTTCCATGGCAGAACATTGCAGGCACACCAGAGTGCAATTATAAATGCAAACAATGCTGCCCGCTAATACAGGGATTCAAGGTATACAAAAGACAACAAGCCCTACCTTTCTGGATTCTTCCACTAATACTGCTGTTTGGTGTCTGAGTCACAGACGGGCACAGCTCTACTCAGCAGAGAAGAGACTACTATACATGAAAATCCAGTACAGAATGGGGCTTCCAGGTCAACCTCCAAGGGACTAAATTTAAACTAAAGGTATAGTATTTAGGGTTAGCTAAGCTATATTGCTGCTGTTTTACATATGTGGTATACGTTAACAAGATTGTCACTGACCAAATTTAACAAGCTAAGCTATTAGTTTAGCTAGTTAGCTATTTTTTTGCAGTGTAGTCTAGTTAGCTAACAGTTTTGCAGTGTAGTTTTTAGTCTTGTACTGGAAGTAAAACCAAACCTGCACTTAGTATCATTTTGTACTACTGCTGCTACTACTACTAATAATAATGCTTATTATGTTTCTTATTCTAAACAGAAAATGAGTAAACAAAGACATCAGTCAACATTTCGAAGTGAAAATGAAAAAGTTAGGGGATTATTTATTTTACATCAGAAATCCTTAAGCTGTAAAATAAATAAAGGGCCCTTTATGTAAAAACCTTCCCATGAAAAAGGTTATGCCCATTCTGTAGATTATCCAGTATAACTGGACTGCTCTTTCTCATGAATTCTCGTGTGCAATGTTTTCTGTTTGATTTTTCAATGCTACGAGCACAAACAAATTTATCTCCACCTACACTCTATTTAAGTGGAGGCAGATGTTGAGAAGCTGGGTAAAACCAAACCTAAACTTTCTGCTTTTCGAAATACTATCGGGTACTGACAAAATTTGTTTTGTTTTGTTTTAGTTACAGCACAGCGTTGAGATACGCGTACTTTTTAAGGGTATTTCCCTGTAAGAAAATGCTCTTCAAGTGTTAAGAAAGCATTCTACTAAACCAAAAGCTGCATGGTGGTCAAAGAAAAAAGTAAGGTTGTTTACTTCTACCTGAAAAAGTTTACTTCTTGAGACAATGTTCTGGGCTTGGAGGGATGCATTTATGCATCTTAGAGAAAAACATTCCCTGAAGACTAGCTTGCTTATAAAGAATTGTGGGATTTCACTGAGAGGATTATTTGATAGTGTTTTAAATTCTCCCCACATCAAAATCTCCTCTTGACTACTGTTTCTGCAGCACTCTGCCCCCAGGGTCTCCACTCCCAGTCAGTTCCTACTGATAACTTTAAAACAGGTCTCAAATTTACAGTTTAGCTTATTTCTAGTTGGTTAAACGGTTTCTCAGACTGGAGTAAACAATAGATCTTGCCGGGGATTATGTTGTCCCTCAGATTTACACGTCTGAATTATGATGTTGTTTTTTAACGGCAGGATGGTGTTTGATGCATTTTTAATACTCTTTTGTTTAGTTTTTGTGAAGTGCTTTTCGAATGTTTTGACAAAAAACAACATTATAACCACAGTGTTTCATATTGAGATGAAGACCGGCCTTACTTTCTTTATTTTCTAAATCTCAATAACTGAAAGTAAATACATTCACAGGCAGTACAATGTTTGCTGTTTTGTTACTCCCTGTCACTGTCTGGGTGAAAGCTCTGTGGGCTGCCTCGTTCAGCACCACAGAGCTGCTATAACAGATTACAGTGCTGTGAAAAAGTATCTGACTCCTTCAGATTTTGTAGTTCTTTTGCATATTTGTCACACTTATAGGTTTGAGATCATCAAACTAATTTTAATATTAGACGGAAGATAACATTCAAAAATTGTTTAATGATCTCAAACACGTCATCTCAAACATTGTAATAGTAGACTACACTAGTAGGATGATGTCTGTGCATTATTATGCCGGTACTCTGGCTTCCTCCCACAGTTTAAAGACATACAGTTAGTAGGGTTAGGTTAACTGGTGATTCTGAATTGCTCATAGGTGTGAATGTGCATGTGAATGATTGCCTGTCTTTTTGTGTTACCCTGCGACAGGCTGGTGACTTGTACAGGGTCTACCCCACCTCTTGTTTTATGGTTGCTGGGATGGGCTCCAGCCTTCCCGCAACCCTGAATTAAACACGCCTTAGAGAATAAATGGATGGGCAAAGATAACCTGAGTACATACAAAATGCATAGAAAGACTTACAAAGCCATTTCTAAGTCGTTGGGATTCTAAGGACCTGCGATGAGACCCATTATCCACAAATGGAGAAAACTTTATGCGCTGGTGAACCTTCCCCGGAGTTGCTGTCCAACCAAAATTACTCCTTAAGCACAAGACTTGGGGGGGAAAAACATGTTCACTGACCAGACAAAAGTGCTACTTTTTGGAGGGTTTGTGTAAAACTAGCCAGCATTTTATAAAAAGTCATCATCCCTAAAACAAGGTGCTACTTGTGTAATGATCTAGGACTGCTTTGCCACTCAGGGCTTGGATAGCTTAGTGTAATTGATGAAACCATGAACTCTGCTCCACAAAATCCTGAAGGTGAATGTCTAGCTGTCATTTCATAAAGCACAAGCACATTCAGTTAGATTCAGCAAGACAATAATCTGAACATATCAACAAGTTCACCTCTGAATGGCTCAAAAGAATAAAAGGAAGGTTTTGGAGTGGCCAAGTCAAAGTCCAGACCTAAATTTGATTGAGATGCTCTGGCACGACGTTAAACAGACCACAAAAATACTCCAATGTGGCTGAATTAAACAGTTAAAACAACAAGAAAAAAAGTAAGCCGAAAATTCCTTCACAGTGATACGAAAAACTCATTGCCAGTTATCATAAATTCTTGATTGTAGTTCTTGCTGCCAAGGGTGGCACAACCACTCATTAGGTTTAGGGAGCAATTTACTTCAACATTGGGCAGGAAGGTTTGTGTAGCTTTTTTTTCCCCTTTAATAAATGAAATGATCATTTTAAAACAGGATTTTCTTTTTCTTTCACAGAGCACTGTATACAATATCATGACAGTGGCGCTGCATATTTAATCTTTATTTCTTGTAATATGATCATAAGCCAATCCTGCCTTCACCAAAGACGTCACCTTCTGTTTGAAATTTCTGCAATTATCAAGAGGATGATACATTGAAAGTTTATTGTTTTATTTATTTTCTATTTTAAATACAATCTGAGTACAGAATATTTGACACCCCCAAAATCAGTGACTTGGGAGAAACGATAAACATCCATACGTCTGAAATTATATTTATTCAGCAGTCAGTATAGAATGTAAGATAAACATTTTTGGCACAGTTTCTTAATGATGATAAGCTGTCCCATTTCTGTGTGGTAATCTAAATAAATATGCAAAACCATAATTTATTTCCCAAATAAATACAATAAGAACAACAACAAAAAGATGCACCGCATCTCCATTTCACCTTCCCGGAAAAAAAAAAGTCAAAAGGAAAAAAAACCAGACAGACATAATATGTTTTTACTTCAGCCAGTTGCTATGGGTTCAAACCAAATAAAAATCGGCGAAGGTGAAAAAGATGCTTAATGATTCATTTCAACAGCTTTTTCTCCCCTAAAAGTCAACCAGGCAATACAACAAAGGAGGCATTTGAAGGGCCAGTGGAAGGCTGTACTGTGGGTTTTGGATTAGAAAGGTTACATGGTTTTATGGAGAGGTGCGAACATCACTTCAGATCCTAGCATCTACTTTGCCAAGTTTTTAGTTTTTCACTAAAACCATTTTTCTCTTTTACACCTGCTTCTCAAATTAGCTAATGACCGTGCAAGTGTAAACATTCACAAATGACACCCAGAGACAAAAATGAAACGGGTTATATCACCGGCAACCTGATACGTGCGATGTTTATGAATGTAACTTTGTGGATTCCCGCGCGTGTTGATTTGACTTGGTGTGTTATGGCAATTATTTGGGGAAAATAATTCCTGAAAATTATGGGTAATTGCGTATTTTAGACTGGGGTATTTTGAGAAAGTAGAACTCAAGGGAGCAGATGTGTGAAATGTTTAAATTGCTCTGTTGCTGTTATTCAACACAAATCGACATACACTGGAGTTTTTAACGTGAGCATGAAACCTGGAGCTATAGATTTGCATTAGCAAATTCTAATCAGTAACACTTTTTTCTTTTACCTGTGTAATAACACTGCAGTTAGTAACATTGCATAGAAGTAGGGAACCAAAGTCATGGCCTGTAATAACAACACGCTTTAAGCCAGATCACAAAACATTATAATCAGGCCACGAGGCTGAAGTGTCCTGTGATTAACACCGGTGGGAATGAAGTCCAGTTACAGCACTGATCTGGTCCCCTACAGCTTATAAATCATAATCTGTTTCATTTACTACTGAAATATGACATCACAAACAAAACCTTGCTACATTGTTGTTACACCACAGTTTACAGTGTTACTACATGGATAGAAAAGATAAAAACTTGTGATTTAAGCAGCCATTGTCTGCCTTTGTACATGTCAAGTCTTGGTGTCCACGTGACACTGTCTCAGCTTGTGAAGACTGATGGTCAAATGCCATAGTCTATCTGTCCAACAAAAAAAAAATAAAATTATTATTTTTTTAAAAAGCTGCTTTGGAGCATCCAGGAACATATTCACATCTTCCTCTCATTGAGTTTATACTCCATAGATTTTCTGTTAACAGCAACCATGACTCTTCCATCAGAGAGAGAGAGCAGCATAAAGAAGTCCATATCTCTGGGTCATACACATCCGCAGTTCTTTGCAGATACGTTGTGTATGTTCTGATAGCGGCTGGGGTTTACTGTTGTGTCCAGGATGGTAAAGTCCTCAAATGCAATCGGTCGGCAGCAGGGCTGAATGCTAACTTTGTCCCTGCGGCCCTTCTCTCTGAAGCCCACTGTCATCATGTGCTTCATGACCATGTCATAGTTTTCCCGGTGTTTATCGCATTTGCCACTGCAGTAGCGCAGCCGCACAGTCTCTTCGCTCTTATATTCGAGACCCAGTTCATTAACTTTCACTTCGAGCGTCCTGACGGTGCACGACTTGGGCTTTCGGGCCCTTTTAGTCCTGCGGCCCTGGGTCTTAGCAAGCCGCCGGCTCTTCCTTCGCTTAGTTTCTAGCACAGTTCCGACCATGTGCTGAAGCTCGCCCTCAGTGAAGCTCTGCAACATCATGGTAACTGACAAAAAAAGGGGAATAAATCAACAGAAAGTGTTATTGACAGGTCATGAGGTGGGATTATCTGGTTTCTGTGTAATTTTGTGTCTAACATTTTCAACAATCAGAAGTGTCAACAGAACAGATGGCTCACACAGATAATGCACTGACGTTGGCATGGAAATCAAAGTCAGGTGCAAACAGAGGACCACAAAAATGTTATCTATCGTAACAGCAACAAACTATCCTTATCAGCGCTGGCTAAACAGAAAGTGTTTAAGTTCCACAGAGCGAGGTTTGTTGATGAATGTCTGTCACTGTTGCAATGTGAGGTAAAAAAAAGACCATCATCTTAGAGGTTGGAGATGTTCTGTGGAGAACCGGTGAACTATGACCGGTGCTAACTGACATCAGTGTGTGAACAGTTAAACCTGCTCCGTAAGCAACAGAGTCAGGTGCTGAGTGTTTTGTCGGAACCCTTTCACAAGCTTGTGAAGATGAAAACTACAGCTTATCTTACACTCTGAGAGGAAAGATTTCATGTCGTCTGTTGAGCGTTTCCTCCGATGCAGATCACCCATCTGTTGGGGCACTGGCCTTGATTCTGAGGAGGGCGATGACGATGATGGCGGTGAGGTCTTGGATGCTGATTCTAATAATGCAGACGGTCTCGACGAGGGTGAAGATGGATATTTTGTGTTAAGCTTGAACTGTCTGATGGTGGCCATGTTTCTAATGAGGATGGTGGACAGGGCTGCAGCACAGAGCATGAAGGCAAAAGTAGCACCTTTCCATAACTTCATCTTAGAACGTGGAGGAGCATTGAAACTCTGCGGAGAGAGCGAGAGAGAGGCAAAGTGTGCAACATCAGACATGTTTAAACAGTCACGCCTTCAGCCATGTACTTTTGAACTTGTCACGTTAAAGCACAGACACATCAGTGTCGAAACTGCTATATCTACCACCATCACATTGCTGCGACCTTTCCACAAATCTACTTCTCTCGAGTGAGGCTTCTGCAGCGGGGCTTTTAATTTACCACCGGTTTACTTTCTCTGATTTTGCTGCCAGCTCATTCTCACTATAAGTGAGGTCACGATCTGTGAGCTCGACATCACTCGCTGACACCCAAGAATGCAGATGTGTGGGAAAGTGAAAAAAGTAGAAAAAAGGAAAAACAACACGACTGCCATTCCTTATTTGAGCTGAAGACAAACGGGATGCAACCCCTGCAAACCTGCAGAAAATAATTTATAAAAATACCTGATGAGAATGAGCATCTGAGTCGCCTCCACCCCCAATTTCTAAAACCTCCCCAAAAAACCTTTGAAAAGAGGGAAAACACATTTCTTCCTTTACAATGTCTCAACCACACCTATTTGGAATTCTATGTATGATAGGACGTGCAAGCTTGTATACCCTTTTATCTTCCCTCCCTTCCAACAGATGCAGCAACACTGCAGCCACAAAACTCAATTTGGAGGACTTATGTGCCATGTTTTCTTTTTTCCCTTAATGTCAAACCACTGGTATATATTTTTTTTTTTTTACAAGCCCACTGCTTTGTTCTCTTCACATCTTTTCAGCAATGAGCAAAGCATTCCCCCAGAGCCGGAAACAGTACACTGGCAGTGACTAACAGCAAATCCAGACCAGCTTTAGAAAGTGCTTTGCCAGGCTGGATTCTGCAGGGGAATGTATGCAGGCAGTCGGATTGTTTACAATGAGAAAACATGTTGCATGGTTGCCCGATATTTTATAGAAACAAAACTCTAAAATAAGTGTTTTCTCTAAAAGTCAGCAACTCCTATAGATCACAGGACAGAGACAAAAACAGTAGGAGCATTGCAGTTTTCTCATGGTGGTTGAAAATTCCCTGCACTCCTCTGCATCTGCGTGATTCGGACAACACAGATGGAAAATAGAAAGGGACTGTGCGCATGAGCTGCAGTGGTGCAAACAGCATATAAACAGGTATAACCAGTCATATCAGCCAAAGCTTGAGTCATCACTCATAATTCCATATGTGTTTGACGTGGTAAGCGGCTTCTGCACAATGAAGGGGTACGACGACAATCATTTGAAAGTCAAACATTTCACCTAGCAACCTCAATTGACACACAGTCTAAGTAAATCAAACATGGAGGTGGCGTGGTAGCTGTGGCCGAATGTTACTCACTGACTGGCCATATGTCTGACGCTTGTTTCTCGCCTGCGAAGGCCTCAGAAGTTATATATGGAGGCCTAAATGGGAACTTTCATTTTGTTTCTTTGACCCCAAACCCTAACGGCAGAGAGCTCGGTCCACCAGGCATTAACTTGTGGAATTCTCAGTTTAAATGAAGCCGTTTTCTACTCTACACAGCTAAGGATGAGAGCTTTGTTTTCCTATGCTATTAATAGGCCAATTTTGGGCAGTTATTAATCCATGGAGTTAGCGATTTCACATGGCAGAGATGCATCGGTGTCCTCAGCCTCCGTGGCTCATCCTGATAAAACAATTACCTCGTAAAGAACAGATAAGTCTTCCACTGTCTCTGCCACTGGATGGAGATTCATCATCAAGCACTGATCTCATGTCCCTGAAGACACTTTGATTGTCATAATTGCACCACTCAGAAACACATTAGTCACATCTGCAGTCAATTGGCGCCAATAAAAGTGCCAAGGATCACACTGCAGCTTGTTCAGATGTTCACGGATGATTAATCAGCACAGACATTTAATATGTGTAACTGGCCCCCACCCCTGTGGACATATATATACACTTACTGATAGAGAGAAGAGGCACCTGCGTTTTCTTGGGAGAGCAATGGATATGTAAATGAGTAGCTGACTTCCTGAGGACAAATACTGCTTTTTTTCGTTCCCTAGCAAACAGAGAAGAGCAGTAAATGCAGAGAGGATATAGTGGAAGCCCTTAGGACTCTGTAGCAGAAGGAAAACTCATCCTCAAACAGAGGTATAAAAGTGCAGATGACTCGCAAAAACAACTAAACCAGCTCCCACACAACATGTCTGGCCCTCACAAAGCATCATGATATGCCCATGCATGCTCCAGTGTGTGCATATGAAGGCTGGTTGATTGTGTCAGGCCCAAAACAAAGGGATAAAATCTTCTATTTACGTCGAGAAAACAGTCTGAAGCCATGGAAACGGCCGGAAATGAGGATTTTGTGATTCTAGAGAGAGTGTGGGAGTGATAGCACACCTGACATTTGCTCTGGGCCATATGTCACCTGAAGAGCTACCAGCAGAGAGAAAACAGTCCCAGAAGGCTCTTAACGTGTCTGAGGCAAACCATGAAAGTGAACTGTTCATCCAGAAATGCTTAAGTCTGTCAAAGCCATTCCCGAGACATTATGTATTCTCTAACGCATGCATGCACGCATGGCGCAGTTGGAGGCCGATCTGCAGCGATCAACTGAGCTCTTGTTGATGATCTGAAAGATCGCATTCTTTCAAATGACACAATAAAATCGACGTTTTCGGGGAATAATTGGGTCAGTGGCCTTGGTGCTTCTAAGCTGGTGGTAATGTAATTATATAGCAGCATGGCACCCGTGTCAAACCCCTCCTTCTCTGGCCAGAAGGAGACACTCAACAGAATGTCACAGCCTACGGATGAAGTAGAGATCTGTCAAAATGGGGATAAGCGGCGTTTGTGGTTTTTACTTTTGAATGAAGACAGCAGATAGGGGGGCTTTCCTGTCAGCCAGTCTGGATCGAGACCAGTGAGACACAGTCATTGTGACAGAAGATCACAGAACAGCAAAAATGAAGAGCGTCTTTGTGCTGGAAAAAAAAGAAGCAGATACCAACTTCAATGTCTCACCATGCAGCAGCATTTGTTCCTATATATTCTCTAAATACAGCCTCTTCTGTTTCACCCTGTCTCCCTTTCTCTCTGTGACTCATACATACCATAAACACACACGTACAGCAGTTGCGTGGTTTCACTCTTTCCCAGTCATCTGACGCATGCTTGTCTAGAAATTTAGACAAAGTACAACCTTCAATTGTTGGCCAGACACCCACTTCACTTCTATGGTGTACACATGCTAAAATCCATCACATAAGACTATATTATCTTTCTTATATCATCTTGCTGTTTCTTGATATCAAGAAATCTCTCCAGGTCTAACCACAGTGTGTTTGCCACTGCATAAACGTGAGGCCTGTGCCTACAGAGCACTGTTAATGCACCGTGAGTTGCGGCTTCGCTGGAGCCATGTGACTGGCTGTTTCTGTATTACTCTGAACACACCCCGTAAATACCTGCACTCGTAAGATAGCAGTAGCAAACCAAAGAGTGGGAAAGGCACCTACTATGTTGCTGCAAAGAAACAACGTGCTTTTTGGAGTCCTAGAGAGGCTTTGTCTTGTCTTTTCCCTCTTAAGTGACCATCAGGAGACCTGGGGACAGCTAGAGAGTGCTTGGGGAGGTAATAGGGACATATTCCAAAGATCAGGGCGGGATTAGCACTAATGCCTGCCGGCTTTATCTGCAGTCACGTGGGTTAACACCTGGCTGCAGTGTTGGTGGCAGAGCACAGGTCTCGCTCTGTGTGTGTGTCCGTATTAATCCGTCAGACACCTCTAGCTCAGAGGTTAGCCCAGCATGCAAGGTCCACAGAGAATGAGCACCTGCAGGCTCTTCCACCACTAAATCCCAACCTGCCCACAAAATGCCAGAATAATGAAGAAGCAAAGTGACAAACTTGGTGAGCCAGCTTTGTTGTGGTGGCACCAGGGTGGGCTAAGAGGTTGTAAAATAAAGTGGGATTTCAGAGCCAGGATTGGCTGTTCTATATCCGGCCCCGGTTCTAATGCAACCAAAAAAAGCCTGTGGTGTAATTTTGCTGGTAGCCACATCGGTTGGCTCGTGCTCTGTCACTCAGAGACCATGGGATAATCAAAACAAGCCTGTTCCTTGTTAGCTAGAAAGCTGATGTTCATTATTGAGCAAAAAGGGAAGCTTTTGAGCAATGCCGGAAAAGTTGTGACAATTTTTGGTCACATTCTTTGAATTTTAAACACGATTCTGGTATCCTTTTTCGTCCACTGGATTTGGGTAAGTGGCTTAAAAAGTTTCAATTTTATTTTAGAAGGCCTACTATCGGGTCCCCTGGATTAGATACGGATTAATCCAGTGACCCAACGGCTTAGCACGGAATCGCACAACTCATACCTATTGCTGTTAAAGCAGGATTATTGAGGAGTGAGGTGAAGGTAGATTTAAAGATGCACATTTGACACCTGTCTCAGTATTTCTGGCCTGTGCTGTTATGGGAGGAGAGAGTCCAAGTGCAGTGCAGACATTTGAATCACCCTTTTGATGTGAAGCGATTGCATTATTCTTGGCAGAGAAACACAACGTTGCCTCATTATTTTTTTTATGTGCGTCTCAGCTACTTTCTAAAGAGTCTATCCTGGCTCTTAATCTGTCTCTGTCGGATCCTCTTTTAGCACAACAACATCACCTCTAAACCCATGTTAAACATGTTGATGTTGCTTTTACAAAAGGCTGGCGGCCATCTGGCACACACTGAATACCACTTTCGAATATGACCCACGCCAGCAAGCACAAGCAAGTACAAACATCCAAAATATGTTGAGATTTTGCATTTATTGACCATACTTTCTTTAGGCTAGCAGTGTCTGCATTATATGCATGCAGCACGTATGTACTGAGGCAATGAGGAATAGTACATGTGTTCAGCTTCCCCATCAGTTTATATGAGCAGCTTTGGGAGGTTATGAAAGTTGAACAGCTCAACTGACTTTAGGCTTAGCCGCTATCCCTCCTCTCGGAGCACAGCCAGATACAGTATAATCTCCATGTATGATATGGGCTTAGTGCAAAAGGGATCATCAGTTCAGTAAAAAATGCCAAGGATGAGTGTCATCAAGCGCCTCTATTGTGATCCTGATCTTCTTAATTATTTAAACTATTAAAGGTGCGGAAATCCCTGAAATGATTAATACAAAAAAAATAATTAGCCAAATTCCCAGTTTCTTATCAAGTCTAAGTAGGGAACTAAGTTTTTTTTAAAGGAGCGTGTATTTAGAGTGCACTCATGCATTAGAATGAGGCAAACCACCATGTTGGGCAAATGACAGGCAAAGAAAAATATTCCTCCCTCGCAAAATAAACTCTTCTGAGTGTTGAGAGGTTGCAAGAAAATCAGAGTGCTAATTTATTTTTCTTTTTGCTCTTCCAACAACACGGGATACCCCCTTTTGCGACCAGTGAGCGGTTACTGCTCTGCAAGCATTTTGTGACAGGCCGTAGTGCGCTATTGTCATGTGGCTCTACCGAGGAGCCACTTATTGACACGGATAACGTGTGTTTTCTGCCACCCCAGCACTTGGAGAGCCATCTCTGTCAGCAGCACCTAACGCCTTCCTCATAAGCTGCTGGCTTAGACTAACAAAAGAAGATGTGGTGTCCTTACCGTTCGGCCGGCTAATCCAGACTTAGCTGTGTGGCGTCGTCTTCAGCTGACCTCCACAGGCGAGTGCTGGCTGGGTAAGTCCATCATCATCACAGGCGAGGAGTGAGGACAGTACTCCTGCTTGTTTTCTAAAAATCATCACAACTCCTTGTGCCTGCAAGTAGGGGAGGTGTCCTGACTTGATTCAAGCCAAGGGTGTATTATTCTTCCATCATATTTGCACTTCCATAGAAATCTTTTAAGTTGCAAAGATCAGAATCAGCATTCCTCTGAATATAAGCATGCATTTCATGGCATTCAGCCTTATCCATCCAAAAAGAGGAGAGCTGGATGTTTAGAGAAGCCACTGAGTGGTCAGTTTTACTTCAGAAAACTCATGTCTTCATGCTTCCCCATACAGAACTGGTGGTCTTCTTTGCAAACTTGAACCTTGGGAGAACAGAGCAGAACCAGGGTACGGTGGCATGTAATAAGCAGATCTTACAGATTTCTTTACTTTTATCACATCTGTTGTGAATTTCTGTGAATTTCCGTTGCCTTATGATTATTTTTTCTCCAAGGAACAACACCGATGAAGGATAATGCACATTTCCTTACCCTTTTTTTTCCAGCAGCAGGTCTCCTCTTCAGCTCAAGCAAGAACAACTCTGCGGGTCGTGAAGATGGGTTAGGGTGAGGAGGGAGAGTGTAGTTACCGTAAGTGGAGCACAGAGCTTCTCCGATGCCTCCGAGTGCCTTCCCCTTCAACTCATGCTCCTCCTCCTCCATAGTTGTGCTTGTGGGCCGAGTCGGATTACTCCTGACATGATAATCTCTCTCCAGAAGCACTAAAGGATGCTTTGGCCTGAGTAAAGGCTTACATTTACCTTCTGCCGCAAGAGAGCGTGCCATCTTAAGCAGGCAATTGGTAATAGCCTCAAATGGGCAGATCAGTGCAGTTTAGCGGGGTCTGCTAAAACGAGTGTCTTCCAATCTTTTAGTGGGAATTAAGAAAGTTCACAATTGGTTTAAAGGGGGCTAAGACAACATAAACTCCGAGTAAACAGAATTATCACAGCAGAGGTATTTCATGATAACCCAATCTACAGCTGGCTGGAGATAAACCCATTGATGTTGTTGTTCAGGATCACATCCACATCCCCTCCAATACAGTATTTTAGCCTTGAGTGGCAAATGAGGAGCAGATGGTTGTGTTTTTGGAAGGTATCAGGCGCTCCACACTGTAATCTAAATAAATACCCTAGCCACAGGGGGAAATGCTTCAGGTGTGTGGGGTCAGCGATGTATAAACAAACGGCGATCAGTCGGGAGACAACTGAGGGGGATACGCGAAGCCTCACAGGTGCTGTCGTGGAGCGGGTTGCATTAACCTACAGGTAAACAGGATGTATGATCCAGAATCGTTTCTGGAAATAAAGCAGCACAGTAATAAAGCCAGCACACCAACAGGAAACTAATTATTTGCTAACAAATATCTCATTCTCACAACATGAGTCATTCAGATTTCCTCAGGCCAAATTATACACAAATCAAAGCTCCACAAGAGGGGTGGAGATGTGGCCAAGTGTGAAATTTCTAAGACTTAAAATTCCTTCATCGTTGCGTGGGACAAACCAAAGGAATCTTTGCCCAAAGCTTTGTGTCATTTGTGTATCAACAGATATTATTCTAAGGTTGTTATCACAGTGACCTGAAGGGGTAGATATTTCTTTTAGCCCAAAAGTTCAGGCAACGCATTTTAACACAACCCTCAGCAACTTGGAGAAAAGCAACAGAACAAATGAAGAATGGAAAAAAGAAAACGTCTTTTCATTACAGTCGGCAGGTGCAAAATATTATTATTACACTAACTTATTTAACAGACATCTCAATAACTGGCCTGAACAGCCTATGTAAAGACATAATGACTTCCACCTAGCAGGGAATATTGTGCTTTTCCAGCCTCAAAAAGGAGCTATCTGCACACAGACATTTCCTAACATCGGACAGAAACATGCCTACTCTGTACATATTGTTCACAGATGTGTAAAGTTTTCATAGACCTGCCTCAGCTGCAGCATAAACCCAACAGCTGTTAATTGCTAAATCAAGCCAGATACAGTACGAGTGAAAGGCTTGATCTGTATACACGAAAACGTCTCGCTCAAAAAGTTACGATTACATTAGTCACGAAGACAGTCTGACACATGAGAATACTCGAGGTGGGGGGGCAACATAGCATGTTTCCAATTTCAATATGATAGAATTCCATACACGTTGTGATTGAATCTTTTCCACTAGGCGTGGATAAGTGAAGAAACACATTTTGTTTAGTTTTGGGCAAGATTTTAAGGAAGCCCTCAATCAGTAACACTATAAACAGACCATTCCAGTTGAGGTGTCATTAGAAAGGCTGGAAATAAGGCACAAATGTTGCTACTACGCACGTCTTGCACAAGACGTGGTTTGATGATTGGACAAGTAACCTTTCGCCAAATGTCATCTCGGCGAGTGGAAAACTGCTTTTTAGAGAACCAAAATCTAAACAGAAAACGATGCACTCAGACAATGAGGGCCTTTTATGAGTGTTTCATGTTGAAAGACAAGCCTTCTGTCTAAGGAAAGCGGTAAAAAGGTAAATCCATCCCTGCCAGAGAACAAATATACAATACAATTTGCAGTTGTGAGCAGACAGGCTGAGGCCCCAGAGGTGCAGAGGCCACTCAGGTTTCAAAAGAGGTGTGCACAGACTCTGAGACACTTTCATTCCAGCTCTTAAAATCCTGAGTTTGGGTTAAAAATTTAAACTTCCTGCTAAAATGTATTCAATTCAATTTAGTTTTATTTATATAGCACCTAATCACAATAACAAGGATTCAAGGTGCTTTGTATTGTAAGGTAAAGACCCTGAAATGTACTGATTTCAATGTACATGCTGCGTTTGCAGTGTGTGTGTGAACAAGTGTGAACGTGGCTAAATGCTGCCCCCATTTGTCAGTGGTTTATAACTACACCCCCCCCCCCCGAATGAACAAGGTCTTAACAATCAAGATGCAAACATTTAAAGAGCGTGTGCTGTTTATTGCAAAGCAAATATTTTTGCTTCTCAGCTTTTAATTCAAACATTTTTTTAAATAAATCTGTTAATGTCACTTTTTCCGAGGGAGGTCGAGCTGTTCCCGGTGCCTCACTCTGAGCTGAAAACCACTGGTGCCATCAGGGCCAAAGGGCTGACGTATTACCCTCTGAATCGAGCTGGGTGCGTTCGGGTGCCCGGTCTCTTTGCGGTTCAATTCAAGGGCCGCTAGTTTACGCTTGAGCACCCACGGGCTCTGGGAAATTTCTTTATCGCAGTCTCCAGAGTTCCACGTCATCCTACCGTCACTATGATTCCAACCAGGGAAGGACTGGCCATTGCAGCTGCTGGAAATCGGGTCAACATTCAGCGGTGCAGGGTTATCCGTGGACGCGTTTGGCTGATGTGTGTCTGGAGGTTCATCAAAAAACGCAGTGGGTGAAGAATTCTCCTGCTGGACTAAGTTCTCTGGGATTTCAGGTGGATTTTCCTCCTCGGGAAGGATTTGGCTTGCTTCTTCTGGGGATTCGTCCTCAGTGAAATGATGCATTGACTGGAATCCCATAGGTACAACACACATGCCTTTCCCGTTAGACTTCTCCTCTTCTGCTTTCAGGGCACTGTAGGCCTTACGAACGGTCTCCAAACTGTCAAACTTGATCACCGCACATAAGTGCTGGCCAAGCTCCTTGTGACGTTTCCCGTAGCACTGCATATCTGCGGGAAGCTCCCTTCCAGGTGGCAGAATCTGGAGTGAAGTAACTCTGCCGTAAATGCTGAACTTTTGGAGCACATTCTCTGAGAGCGCAGCGGGCTCCGGGCCTCGGGCTGCACCGTCGTCACTGCTTTGCTCCTCGGAAAAGTTCCAAGCGAGGAGGTGCTTGCTGGTGGGGGAACACATCAGCCATTTGGGAAGCGGCTCTATGCGCCTCACTTTGGTGGACTCATCATTCACCTCCAGAAGGTCTGAGTACAATGCTCCCACCAGAGTCATGTACCAGTTTTTGGTCAGGGTCCTTATCTGTGGCAAACACGGGCAACCTCAGCTTTGTTCGTATTTTACTGGATTGTTTTCATTCAAACTGCTGGAATGTAAACACCACAGAAAGCACCAAATGTTTTTTGTGTTTTGTACCTTTTTCAAAGAAGTGAGAAGCTTGAGACTGACGAAACCCTGCTTGTTCTTCTGCACATGTTTGAGCAGGAAGCCGTCCTCTGCCAGGTGGCTGTCAGAGAAGAGCTCCTCCAAATGGGTTTTGATCTTCAAACACAGCACCTCACCTTCACAGTCATCTTCACTTTGGAAGCGCAGTTGATCAAATCTGTGACAAACGATTCATAATCAGCAAGCAACTTCAAGAGAAACATTTCATTTTGTAAGTTTTAGATTTCCTTACCTAATCAGATCGCTCATGGTGTGTCGTAAGGATTGTGATAGCAGAGCAATAAACTGTTGTCTTTGCTATTTCCTTGGAAATTAAAGGCAGCTGTAATTAACACAGAATCAAGCAACTGTTCATATGAGCACAACAGCCTCAGTTGGTTTCTAAGGAATCCAAAAACAACATTTTGTAAAATGCTATAGCTGAAATTCCACATTACAAAATTAACTTCCACCAGCAACAACAGCACATTTAAAAACAAAGAGAGCAAAAAAAACTCAAACAAAACGAAATCCCAAAATGAAACAAAAAAAACCCATCATGAGGACAAACTGTTTGTTGCTATACAAAATATTACCAGGGCTACAATTAAGGGCCACTGTGCACAACAGAAAAACCAGCAGTTAATCAGTATTACTATCAGCACTTAAATCATTAGAGATGTGAATTTAAAGCAGTTAAAAGCGCACAATCAAATCAAAAGGAAAATTATGATGCCGTCTGACTTTCAAAAAACAAAACAGATACAGCAGCACATTACAAACAGCAACAAAAATGATCCTTTAAATCCATGCTCGTGTGTTTTTGTCTTAAGCTCATTCATCCTTTTTAGCGTGGGCCTGCTACTACACGCTGAAAGCAACAACAGATCCATCACTCACACGAGATGGTTTATTTCCATGTTTTAGTCAACAAACTTGATTAATTATAAATATAAAACCCTTTGCAGGCTGTTCTTCAGCTCCACTCACCCCCCGGCCCCCCGTCTTATTGTTATGAGGCATCAGCAGGTGGTGATTTAGCAGTCCGTGTGGGCTTCTAGTGAGGAGGGGAAAAGGAGATGTCGGGGTGTTCCGAGCACATCCGCTGACATGGATATAAACTGGATATACACACGTGTGTTAAGATTACAAAGTGTTAGCTTGAAATTGTCTGCACTGTGTAAAAATTCGAAACTTCAACAACCGCTTCATCAAAACTCATCATTATTCAAATACGAGTGACAGCAGCATTTCCATGACAACAGGAGCAAACAACCACCAAACTGTTATTAGGTCTTGGGTAAAAAAAAAATCACTCCCTCAGTGACTCATTTCCTGTATCCCTCCAAGGTATGCAGCAAATTGAGCTTTCAGGCACTGATGAATCAATGTGATCTTGAATCATCACTGACACTCAGATGTGTTGCACCTCTGATTGCAAACAGAAGGACCTGTTCGTGACATGGATACTCGTTTTTTCCTCCACT